GGGGTTTTTAATTTGGGGGGCCCCCTTAAAAAAAGGGGGGTTTTTTTTTTTAAAGGGGGAAAAAAAGGGGGGTAGAAATTTGGGTGTTTTTAATTTTGAGGGGGGAAACCCCCAAAAAAATTTTTGGGTTTTTTTTTTTGGGGGACCGGCAAAAAAATTTTTTTTTTGGGGGGGGGTTTTTTTTTGGGTTTTTTTTTGGGGGGAAAAATTTTTGGGGGCCCCCTTTTTTTAAAAAGGGGGGGAGGGGGGGGGGGTTTTTTTTTTTGGGGGTTTTTAAAAAAAATTTTTTTGAAAAAATTTTTGGGGTTTTGGGGAAAAAGGTTTTGGGGGTTTAAAAATTTTGAAAAGGGGGTAAAAAGGGGGGGGGGAAAACCAAAAAGGGGGAAAACCGGGGGGTTTTTTTTTTTCCCTTTTTTTTTAAAAAAAAAAATTTTTGTTTTTTTTTGGGGTTGGGGCCCCGGGGGGGGTTTTTTTTGGGTTTTTTAAATTTGGGGGGGCCCCCCCCAAAAAAAAAATTTTGTGGGGGAAAAAAGGGGGGGGGGAAAAGGGGGGTTTTTTCTTTGGTGTTTTTTTAAAAAAAGGGGGGGGGGGGGGGAAAAAAAAATTTTTTTTTTTAAAAATTTTCCGGGTTTTAAAAGGGGTTTTTTTTTGGGGGGAAAAAAAAAAAGGGGGGGGGGGGTTTTTCCAAAAAATTTTTTAAAAAAAATTTCCTTGTGTTTTTAACCTTAAAAAATAGCCATTTTTTTTTTTGGGGGGTTTTTGGGGGGCCCCCGGGGGAAAACCCCTTTTTGGGGCCCTTTTTTTTTGGGGGGGCCCCCAAAAAAAAATTTTTGTGTGTTTAAAACCTTTTGGGGGGAAAAAGGGGCCCGGGTTTTTTTTGGGGGGTTTTTTAAGGAGGGAAAAAAAAAAAAATTTTTTTTTTTTTTTAAAAAAATTTTTTAAATTTTTAAATTTTGGGGGTTTAAAACCTTTTTTTTTTTGGTTTTTTTGGGGGGAAAAAGGGGGGTTCCCCTTTTGTGGGGTTTTCCCCCCCCCGGGGGGGGGGGAAAACCTTTTGGGGGTTTAAAAAAAATTTCTTTTTTTAAAAAAGGGGGGGAACCAAACCCAAAAACCCCGGGGGAAAATTTTTTTTAAACCAAAGGGGGGCCCCTTTTTTTTTTGGGGGCCCTTTTTTTTTGGGGGGGTTTTAAAATTTTGTGGGGGTTTAAATTTTGGGGAATTTTTTTTCCTTTTTTTGGGGGTTTTTAAAAATTTTGGGGGTTTTTTTTTGGGGGTTTCCTTTTTTTTAAAAGGGGGGGGTTTTTTTATTTTTTTTTGGGGGGGTTTTTTTGGGTTAAAAGGGGGGGGTTTTTTTTCCCGGGGTTGGGGGGAAAAAGGGGGAAAAACCTTTTTAAAAATTTTTTTGGGGGGGAAATTTTGGGGGGAAATTTTTTTTTTTTTTTCCCCCCCCCGGGGGGGGCCCCCCCCCTTTTTTTGGGGCCCCCCCCCCAAACCCCCCCCCCCCCCCTTTTTTTTTTTAAAGGGGGGGGCCCCAAAAATTTTGGTTTTTTTTTTTGGGGGCCCTTCCCCCCAAAAAAATTTTTTTTTTTTTCCGGGGGGAAAAGGGGGAAAAAAGGTTCTTGTGGGGGGAAAAATTTTTTGGGGACCCCCAAAAAAAAAGGTTTTGGGGGGGGGGTTTTTTTTTTTCCCCCCAAAGGTTTTTTTTTTTAAAAAGGGGGGGGGGAAAAAAAAATTTTTTTTGGGTTTTTTTTGGGGGGCCCAGGGGGTTTTGGGGGGGTTTTTGGTTTTTTTTTTTTTTAAAAAAAAGGGGAAAAAAAATTTTTTTAAAATTTTTTGGGCCCGGGGTTTTTTTTTGGGGGGGTTTTTTGGGGTTTTTTTTGGGGGGGGTTTTTAAGGGGGGGGGGGCCCCCCGGGGTTTCTTTTGTTTTTTTTTTTTTTTCCCCCCCCAAAAAAAAATTTTTTTTTTTTTTTAAAAAAAAAGGGGGTTTTGGGGGGTTTTTTTTTGGGGGGGGGGAAAAGGGGTTTTCTTTTTGGGGGAAAAAATTTTGGGGGGCCGGGAAAAGGTTTTTTTTTAAATTTTGGGTTTTTTTGGGGGGGGGAAAAAAACCGGTTTTTTTTTTTTTGGGGGGGGGGGGGTTTTGGGGGTTTTTTTTGGGGGTTTTTTTTGGGGGGAAAATTTTTTGGTTTTTTTTTTCCCCCAAAAAAAAAAAAAGGGGGGTTTTTTTTCCCGGGGGGAAAAGGGGAAAAAAAAGGGGTTTTTTTTTTGGGGGGCCTTTTGGGGGAAAAGGGGGGGGTTTTTTTTTGGGGAAAAAAGGGGGGAAAAACCTTTTTTTTTTTTTTTAAAAATTTTTGGGGGGTTTAAAACCCCTTTTTTTTTTTTTTTCCCCAAAAAAAAGGGTTTTTTTTTTAAAGGTTTTTTTTTAAAACCGGTTTTTAAAAATTTAAAGGGTTTTTTTTGGGGGGTTGTGTTTTTTTTTTAAAAGGGGAAAATTTTTTTTTTTTTAAAAAAGGGGTTTGGGGCCCTTCCCCGGGGGGAAAATTTAATTTTTTGTTTTTTTGTGGGGGGAAAAAAAAAAGGGGGGAATTTTTTTTGGGGGGAAAATTTTTTGGGGGGAAAAAATTTACCTTTTTTTTAAAACTTTGGGGGGCCTTGGGGGGGCCCCTTTTGGGGTTTTTTTTAAATTTTGGGGGTTTAAAATTTTTTTTGGGGGTTTTAAAGTAAGGGGGGGGGGGGGGTTTTTTCCCGGGGGGGGGGGGAAAAACCTTTTTTTTTTTTGGGGGGAAACCTTTTTGGGGTTTTTTTTTTTCCCGGGTTAAGGGGGGGGGTTTTTTTGTTTAAGGGGGGGCCCCGGGGGAAAAGGGCCTTTTTTTTAAAAATTTTGGGGGTTTTCCCAAAAAGGGAAAAAAAATTTTTTTTTTTTTTTGGGGAAAAAAAATTTTTGGGGTTTTTTTTTTTTCCCCCCGGGAAAAAAAAAGGGGGTTTTTTGGGGGGGGGAAAAAAAAAGGGGGAAAACCGGGGGTTTTTTTTGGGGGAAATTTTTTTTTAAAAAAAAAAAACTTGTGTACGGGCCCATACAAAGAAAAGTCATCTGTGTGTGTAAACCTTGATGGAGGGGCCCTTTTTAGCCGGGAGAAAGTCATCTGGTGGGTGTAAAACCCTTTGGTGGACGGGACTCATACCCAGGTGAAAGTCATCTTGTGTGGTAAAACCCTTGATGTGACGGGACTTACCGGGTAAAAAGTCATAGTGTGTGTTTAACCTTGATGTGAGGGGGATCATAGGGGTAAAAAGTACTGTGGTGTTAAACCCTTGTTTGTGCGGGACTAAATGCCAGTAAAAAGTCATGTGTGTGTGTTTCCCCTTGTGTAGGGAATATACCCAGGTGAAAGTCATCTGTGTGTGTTAAACTTGATGTGAGGGATCATGCCGGTAAAAGCATCTGTGTGTGTAAACTTGTGTGACGGGATCTAGAGGTGAAATCATCTGTTGTGGTTTTAAACCTTGATGTGACGGGACCAAGCCGGGTAGAAAATCATCTTGGGGGTTGTAAACCTTGATGTGAGGGGATCTTCCGGGTGAAAAGTATCTGTGGTGGTTAACCTTGATGGCGGGCTCATACAGGTAAAAAGTCATCGTGTGTGTGATAACCTTGAGGACGGGACCCCAGGTGAAAGTCATCTTTTGTTTGAAAACCTTGATGTAGGGGCCCCATAGAAAAGGGAAAGTCATTTTTGTGTGTGTAAAACCTTGAGTAAAGGACTCATACCCAGGAAAAAAGTCATCTGTGTGTGTGAAAAATTTGTGTGAGGGGGACTCAAGCAGGTGAAAGTCTTTTGTGTGTTATCCCCTTTGATGTGACGGGCTATACCCCAGGTAAAAAAGTCATCGTGTGTGTTATAACCTTGATGTGAGGGACTCATACCCAGGTAAAAGTCTCTGTGTGTTTAAAACCCTTGTGTGACGGAAATCATCCCAGAAAGAAAACATCGTTGTTTTTGTAAACCTTGAGGACGGAATAGCAGGTAAAAGTCATCTTGTGTGTAAACCTTGAGGACGGGACTCTTTAGCCAGGTAAAAGTCTCTGGTGTGTGTATAACCTTGATGTTGACGGGACTCATAGCCAGGAGAAAGTCATCTGTGTGTGTGTATAACCTTGATGTGACGGGACTCATAGCCAGGTAGAAAGTCATCTGTGTGTGTGTATAACCTTGATGTGAACGGGACTCATAGCCGGGTAGAAAGTCATCTGTGTGTGTGTTAAAACCTTGATGTGAAGGGGATTCATAGCCAGGTAAAAATCTTTCTGTGTGTGTGTATAACCTTGATGTGACGGGACTCATAGCCAGGTAGAAAGTCATCTGTGTGTGTGTATAACCTTGATGTGACGGGACTCATAGCCAGGTAGAAAGTCATCTGTGTGTGTGTATAACCTTGATGTGACGGGACTCATAGGCCAGGTAAAAGTATCTGTGTGGTTATAACCTTGATGTGACGGGACTCATAGCCAGGTAGAAAGTCATCTGTGTGTTTTGAAATAAACCTTGTTGTGACGGGACTCATAGCAGGTTGAAAGTCTCTGTGTGTGTTATAACCTTGATGTGCCCGGGACTCATAGCCGGTTAGAAAGTCATCTGTGTTGTGTAAACCTTGATGTGACGGGACTCATAGCCAGGTTAGAAAGTCATCTGTGTGTGTGTTAACCTTGGATGTGACGGGACTCATGCCAGGTTAGAAAGTCATCTGTGTGTGTTTTAAACCTTATTAGGGACTCATAGCCAGGTAGAAAGTCATCTGTGTGTGTGTATAACCTTGATGTGACGGGATTCATAGCCAGGTAGAAAGTCATCTGTGTGTGTGTATAACCTTGATGTGACGGGACTCATAGCCAGGTAGAAAGTCATCTGTGTGTGTATAACCTTGATGTGACGGGACTCATAGCCAGGTAGAAAGTCATCTGTGTGTGTGTATAACCTTGATGTGACGGGACTCATAGCCAGGTAGAAAGTCATCTGTGTGTGTGTATAACCTTTGATGTGAGGGATCATAGCCAGGTAGAAAGTCATCTGTGTGTGTGTATAACCTTGATGTGACGGGACTCATAGCCAGGTAGAAAGTCATCTGTGTGTGTGTGTATAACCTTGATGTGACGGGACTCATAGCCAGGTAGAAAGTCATCTGTGTGTGTGTATAACCTTGATGTGACGGGACTCATAGCCAGGTAGAAAGTCATCTGTGTGTGTTAAAACCCTTGATGTGACGGGACCATAGCCAGGAAAGAAAGTCATCTGTGTGTGTGTATAACCTTGATGTGACGGGACTCATTAGCAGGTAGAAAGTCATTGTGTGTTGTAAACCTTGATGTGACGGGACTCTTGCCAGGTAGAAAGTCATCTGTGTGTGTGTATAACCTTGATGTGACGGGACTCATAGCCAGGTAGAAAGTCATCTGTGTGTGTGTATAACCTTGATGTGACGGGATCATAGCAGGGGTGGGAAAGTCATCTGTGTGTGTATAACCTTGATGTGAGGGACTCATAGCCAGGTTTAGAAAGTCACGGGGTTTGTGTAAACCTTGAGTGAGGGATCAAGCAGGTAAAAAGTCATCTGTTGTGTGATAACCTTGATGTGAGGGATCATACCCAGGTTTAAAAAGTATCTGTGTGTTGTATAACTTGTGTGAGGGCTCATAGCCGGGTAAAATCATCTGTGGTGGTTAACCTTGAGGGGACGGGACTATCCGTAAAAGTATCTGTTTGGTAAACCCTTTAAAGTGCGGGATCATGGGCCAGGTAGAAAGTCATCTGTTGTGTGTAAAACCCTTGATGTGAGGGGGTAAGCCAGGTAAAGTCATCTGTTTGTGGTTAACCTTGATGTGACGGGTCATCCGGTAGAAAGAACTGTGTGTGTGAAAAATTTTATGTGACGGATCATCCAGGTAAAAAAAGTCATTGGTGTTATAATTTTTCTCAGAGGAAAATCTTTTTTAAACCCTTTGATGGACGGACTATAGCCAGGTGGAAAGTCACTGTGTTTTGTGTAAACCTTGAGTGACGGGACTCATAGCCAGGTAAAAAAAGCATCTGTGTGTGTGTTAATTTGATGTGAGGGGCTCTACCCGGTTAAAAGTCACTGGGGGGTGTGTTTAAAAACCCCTGATTGACGGGACTATAGCCGGGTGAAAGTTCCTGTGTGTTGTAAAACCTGATGTGAGGGGACCATAGCCGGTTTAAAAACATCTTTTGTATAAACCTTGATGTCGGGCTATGCCATAAAATCCTGTGTGTGTTAAATTTATGGACCGGGGTCATAGCCAGGGAAAGTCATTGTGTGTGTGTAAAACCTGATGTGAGGGGATCTTTGCCGGGTAGAAAGTCATCTGTGTGGGGTATAACTTGATGTGACGGGACCATACCCAGGTGAAAGTCATCTGGGGTTAAATTGATGTGGGGACGGGACCATAGCCGGGTAGAAAAAGTCCTTGTGTGTTAAAACCCTTTGAGTGACGGGACTCATCCCGGGTAAAAAACTTTTGTGTGGTATAACTTATGTGAGGGGATCATAGCCGGGTTTAAAAAGTCTCTGTGTTTTGTGTGTAAAACCCCTTGATGTGAGGGGACCAAACCAGGTAGAAAGCATCGTGGTTTGGAAAAACCTTGATGTGAGGGGACTCATAGCGGGTTAAAAAGTCACTGTTGTGTGTATACCCCTTGATTGAGGGGACTATAGCCGTTGAAAAGTCATCGGGTTTTGTAAAAACCTTGATGTGAGGGGGATCATACCCAGGTAAAAGTACTGGTGTGTGTAAACCTTGATGTGACGGGATCATAGCCGGGGTAGAAAGGGGCATCTGTGTGTGTGATAATTTTTGATGTGCGGACTCATACCGGGGGTAAAAATTTTATCTGTGTGTGTGTTAACCTTGATGTGACGGGACTCATAGCCGGGGTAGAAAGTCATCGTGTTGTATAATTGTGGAGGGGGACTCATACCAGAAAAAAGTCTCTGGTGTTGTAAAAAACCTTGATGTGACGGGACTCAAGCCAGGTAGAAAGTCATCGTGTGTTGGGGTTTAAAACCTTGATGTGAGGGAACTCAACCCAGGTAGAAAGTCCTTGTGTGTGTATAACCTTGATGTGGGGGCCATAGCCGGGTAGAAAGTCTCTGTGGTGTTATAACCTTGATGGAGGGGGACTCATACCAGGTAAAAAAAAGTCATTGTGTGTGTTAACCGATGTAGGGGACTATCCCGTTGAAAGTCATCTGTTGGGGTATAATTTTTAGTGACGGGACTCAACCCGGGTTGAAAGTCTTTCTGTGTGTGTTTTTAAAAACCTTTTGATGTGACGGGACCATAGAGGTAGAAAGTTCTGGGGGGTTAAAACCTTTGATGTGCGGGTCTTACCCGGAGAAAGTCATTTTGGTGTTTTAAAACCTTGATGGACGGGACTCATAGCAGGTGAAAGTCATCGTGGTGTTTTTAAATTTAAC